CCAAGGTGAAAGATGAACCCAAAAGGAGACACCCTTACTCCTCCCCCCATCCGAGACGGGGCCAAAGGCACCCAAGTCCCGGCGGGAAGAGATCACACGACTCCACATCCAAAAGGGTTGTGAGACACGGCCTAGCGGCTCTCACCCTTCAAGATCGCCTCCTTTGCCACCGAGTGGATGGCCGCCAGCCCTGACTTCTCCGGGTTGCTCAAAATGACCGACCACAAGGCAGTGGAGACATCCCCCAGGCCATTCGAGGAGCTGAAGCGCATGCGCGGGGTGCTCGCGTCGCCCAGGACTAGCCTCTCGTCCCTGGGAGGCTCCGTCGGCTCCACCCTCTTGTAGAACTCCATCCTGTCCCGGATCCACTGATTATATAGCTGCTCCGGGGGCTCGTCCATCACCAGCTGCAAGCATGTGGCCTTGTCTTTGTGCCACCCGGTGATCTGGAGCAGCCTGGTCCCCCCGCGGCTCGCCCTCCAGAAGCCCCTGCAAAACCTGCACATGTAGCCCCCGGTGGTCTTGAACTTCTCCTTGCCCACCACTTCCCAGGCGCTGATGCTGGGCAAGACCAGGCCGCACTCCACGGAGGCCCAAAACACGTGCTTCGTCTCCTTGGGGAAGTGCTTGTTGATGTACTTCCGGCCCGCGACCGCCGTGACCGTGGACGTGGTGATGGGCGGGTACCGCCTGGTGCCCTGGTCCGGTGTGCGGAGCGTGGTGTCTGCCCCCCCCAGAACCTTGGCCTTGGGGTCCGCCTCCTTGGCCGCTCCTCCCCCGGGGCCAGAGGCACCCAAAGGGGGGAGCAACCCAGCTGCCTGATGAGGTCCTGGGAGTAGCCCAACCTGTCGTACAAGGCCCCCGCCGCCTCCTGCGGGACCTGCTCGACCCAGTCGTGGACCACGTTGCAACGCCAGTTGACCTTCACCTCCACCATGGAGGACTTGCTCAGGCCCGACACCAACTTGGTGTAGACCGAGTCGAAAGCCCTCAGCGATGACAGCGGGAGGGTGATCCGCTCGTCGCAGACCGCCCGGAAACGCAGCGCCTCCTTGCTGTCGTGGACGGGGGCCACTCACCGGCAACGGGCAGTTGACGATGAAATTCTTGGCCGCCAGAAACGTCCCCATCTCCTTGAAGATGTAGCTCCATTCCGCCTTGCTGCGCGGCTTGGGGATGCCCAGGCTCCAGGAAGGGCACCGCCTCCTTCCTCATCTGGAGGATGTTGCCCATCCACTTGTCCGAGGTCGAGCCCTCCGCATTGCGGCCCCGGCGCTGCGTCTTCACGATCAGCGGGAAAGTGGTCCAGGCCGAGTAGATGTACTTGAAAGTGAACCTGTGGGCGTACACCCCGGCAGGTCCCACGTTCTCGTCTGCCTGGTCCAAAACACCCCATCCCCTTTTGCCCAGAAGATCCCCACCACCTGCGCCGGGCGCTCGCCCCGGTTCACCTGCGCTCGGATCTCCAAGGCCGTGTAGATGACTGGGTCGATGTGGTCCTGCTCGCACGTGAGTGGGTGAGTCCTGCGCTCCAGGGCCAGGAGCTCCTCCGGCGTGAGCTTGAATTGCTGGTCAGCGCCCTTGGGGATCTCGCCGCTCGAGTGCTTCTTCCAGATCCCCCCAAACATCCGTAGCTCCCTCTGGTGCCTCTTCATCGCCCAGAGGAGCAGCCCTCCTCCGAGTCCAGGTCCTGCTGACATTGGCTGGTCCCCCGGGCCAGTGGCACCCTTGATGGGGCCGGTGTTGCCAGATCGGGCATCTCCTCCAGCAGCGCCTCCTGGTGCCATGGGTTCTGCGACTCTCTGAGCCTCCTGATGTAGGGGACATACTTCTCCTTGATGTCTCCCACGTTGGGGATGTCCTCGGGGTCATCCAGCTTGAGGGGGCAGAACAGCCCCCTCTCCAGTGCCTGCCTGAGATCATCTGGCCACGCCGACACTTCCAAGGGCTTGAGAGTGTGGTTAAGAATTTATGATTGGTTGGTGTCCTGGGTGCGCTTGTTCGCCTCCTGAGCCTCCTGAATGGAGCCCATCGCCTCAGCCAGTGCCTGGCTGGCGTCAACGCCCTTCCCCTCCAGGTACTGGTCTCGCAGCTTGGCCTTGAATCGCTCCAGGTTGACCTCCTAGGGCACGGGCTCCCTCATTGGCCACCTCCTCTGACGGCAGGGCCTGCATGCCCTCCTGGAGAGGCGCCAGGATAGCCATCTCATTGTCCAGCACTCCGTGTGTGCCGTCGCCTGGCCGAGGAATCCGGGGTCTCCCGATGCTCCCTCAAGGCCTTATGCAGCTCCTCCTTCTTCCGGATCGCCTGGTCCACCTGGGGGTGGTAGAGCTGGAAGCGCCTCCTTCAGGGACCGCTGCACTTTGACCTTGATCTCCTGGCATTCCCGGACCTTCAACGCCTCGTCGTCCGCCTCCATGGACAGGATCTCCTGCCGGATGTCCACCCGCCTGTTGAGCGGGACCACGTCTGCCATGGTGATCTCCTCTGCCGTGTCCGTTTTCGGAGGAGCTCTCCCCAGGACCGTGCCGTCCACCAGGTTGCGGTCTGCCTGTGCCCGGGTACCACCGGGGCCAGCGGCACCCAGGCTTCCCCCTTTCCGCTGCTGGATCCAGGTCGGCTTGCCCTCCACAATGAGCAGGTTGTAGGTGATGCCGTCCGCCTCATAGGTAGCCGAGGGTGCCTGGAAGGGGACGAACTCCTTGCCTGGGCAGACCCAGCACTGCTTGGCTGCCTCTGGCCACCCCGTGCCGCATGCCTTGCACATGAACTTGTAATCTGAGTGGCCTGCATCGAGTCTGTGCATCCGCTGGGTGCCAATGCACGCCTTGTTCCTCTGGAACTGTGAGGCCCAGACCTCCTCCTGCCGGATCTGGATCTTCATCGGAACATAGGCCTCCAGGATGCGAATCACCAAGTCCTCCGTGAGATTCTTCCCGACAAACTTGTGGAACAGGGAGACCGCCTCCTCCACCGTGACGTCCCTCAGCAACGTGGCCGCCGATGCCGGAAGGACCGGGAAAAGGTCTGGGAGGTCCACTAACTTGAAGTAGCCGGGACGGCCCTCCACCGGCACCAGGGAGACCGGTTTGTTCACATGAGCCGTGGTCTTCTGGGAAGCCGCCACGAAACCCTTCAGCCTCTTCGTGGGTGGTGTCTGTGCCTCCTCCAGTGGAGTAGCCCGCTCCGTGACGTCCGCATCTTCCATGTCCTTGTCCTCCTCCTCGGCGGGGCCAGGGGCACCCAAGCCGGAAGTAGGTGTGGCAAACGCCACACGGAGACGCTCCAGTGCACTGGAGAGGTCATTCATCACGTCGGTAGCCGAAGCCGACGGGGGGGCCTCGGGCTCGTCCAACACCAGGCCGGCCGCCACTGCCGCCTCGCGTGTGCGAATTTCCTGGGCCTCGTGGCTGGCCATTTCCACCTCCTCCGCGGTGAGCGTCTGGTCCTCAATCAGCTCGAAGGAGGTTGCCGAGGTTGCCGAGGAAGCCATTGCTTGATCGGGGTTAGTTCGAGGGTGTTCAAACTCAAATCTTTTTCACACAAATTGGGTTCAAAGAACCCAGGGCAAAGCTTGAGCCAAAATGGCATGCGCCATTATGGTCAAGCATTTCAAACACAGTTTATGTTTCCACATGCGTTTCAACATTAACAAATAAGTACATGTAGATATGGGCGTGTCTCAAAATAGGGAACGCCTGAAAGTGGTTGATTTCCTTTCGGCTTTCCTTGAAAGGGTACCCTTAAAGCAAAGACACACCCATGTATAATCCTCCTCTCTGTGCATTCTAAAAAAGGCTAGCAAAGACGCGACACTAGACATTAAAATCCATGCGTGAAAAGCGGCCAGCACTTGTTTTGAGAAGAGGGGAAAACAGCTTGAGTCATGTTACGTAGCAGGAACTGCATTGCTGAGTTGCACTGCTTGCATTGTACTAGGCATTGTTTATGTTCCCGCAGCACTGCTTGCACTACATGCACAGCGTTGCTTGCATTGCACTTGCATTGTGCCAGCTTGGAAGCATTGTTTGGGCTGCGGGCTGGATTTTTCTTGGCTTGTAGATAAACTCTTTTGCCCATGATCTTGTCGGTGTAAGGCCCGCGAGGGAGAGCCAGCCCAATTTAGCATCGCACCTCTTCGCTGCCCCCGAAACTCGTGGCTTTGAAAACGTCCATGCTGCACGCCGAAACCAACAACAACACCACCAACACGAACAGCACCACCGCCAACGCCAACAACACCACCACCACCACGAACACCAACAACACAAACCACCAACACCAACCCACCGGCCCTAAACATACACACTATGCCAAAGCGGAGGGCCCCCGAACACCAAGAAAATACTTTGGCGCCACAACCATTGGCCCTAAATGATTTTTAGTGTGTGTTGCCAGTCGACCTGATGGTTGGTTACAGCTGCCAGCTCATCAGGAAAAGCCACAGGGCAAAAGGCAATCCGGCAAAGTGGCGCGCGGCAGCGCCTATGGCCAATCTGAATGCCACGGTTCTGTCTTACGAGACGTCCTCAAAGCTCATGTTCAGCAACTGTGGCGATTTTGCGTTGCAGGCTATTTTCCCAGGGAGCAGATGGAAATCTGTTTTGCGGCATGTGCGCATGGTTCTTTCTGGCTGTGCGATTTACGGGCGGGGCCCTTGATATTGGTGTGAGAGGGCTGTGCTCGAATCGTCCGCGACGATGCTCCACTCATGCGGCTCATTTGCTGGACCTCGTGGGATCCGCTTCAGAGCCTCTGCGCGCCCTTTTTTGGCTGGGAGTCGTCAAAGTCAGAGCTTAGCACAACATAAGAAACCCAACGGAAAGATGATTCCCTGATACCAACAAACGAGGGTTTCAACCATGGTTTCAAAGTGGTGCGATTTTGGGGATTTCGCAACCATCCACAGTACCAAAAAAAAACATGTTCGAGAAACATGGGTCGAAGAGATGCACTCCAGAAGCCTGAAAAAGAAACACACACCAGCCCAAGCCACTTCTGCCTGGGCCACCATCAGCCAGGCATCTGCCTCAAGGCCCGCCTCGCCAGTGGCCTCAGGGAAAGGTCCGCAAAAACGAGATATTGCCGTGACAAGAAGCTCTCTGTGATGCAAACGGAAAGCCACCGAAGTCTTGATTGCCACAAGATCTGCCCCCCAAAATCTCTCCCATCTGCCTATGGGAACCTGTACCTTGCGAACTCAAAGCCATCAACAAGTGCTGCCCGAAGTCCAAAGCCACAAAGCTGTTCTCAGATCCCTTGCCAAAAGTTTGAGCGGGTAAAATGGAAACCCCGCCACTACACCAACGAAAAACATCCCCAAAACTGTGAGGGGATGGTTCTGGAGAAACCAATTTCAAAGGAGAATGCCATGAAAGGATGCCTCCCCCCCCGCCCCAAAACCCATGCGCCTCAAACCCATGAGCTAGTGACAAATTTCGCCTTCTCCCTCCCCCCCTCCCCACCCCTGAACCCCCCCTTCCCTCCCATGCCTTCACCACAAATTTTGCCTCCCCCCCCCTCCCTCCCCGCCCCCTCCCTCCCCACCCCCTACCCATCCCCCCCCCCCCCGCCGCACCCAAAGCCCACGCCTGAAAGGCCGCCACCGCCTTGCGCGCCGGCGCCACCGCCTTGGCCGAGCCCAGCTGCTCCTGGCCCAGAGGCGCGAGCGATGCACCGGGGCGAAAGCGGACCAAAGCGCACCAAGCGCGCGCCAAGCGGAGAGAAACGGTCCAAGCGAAACGGGGGCGAAGCGCTTCAGCTGAGTTGTCATCAAAACCCGGTGTTATGATTTGTTTCGACCCACCATGAATGGAGTCAAAACCTGGTATTAAAATGGTCGTAATCCCAGAAGCATGGTTATAGAATTAAGGCGGAGGTCCGCAGCTATTTATATGGTGATTGTCCCTTGCTAACCTTCTGCCCAGGTTTTGAGGACGTGGCGCCGTCCTCGGAAGAAATGGATCTAACGCGTACATTTGAGGGATCTAACGCTGCCCAGACAGCTTGGTAACACAGATTGGCAGAAAAACAGGAGAATCATCAGAAACCGGGGCAACAAAGAAGTGGTGCGAATTGGACTTCGTCCATCCGCAGTAGGACTTTATGAAAGCGCCTGGCCTGCGCGATGCGCTGCAAGACCCGTCCCGCACTGCCTCGAGAGCACGCCGGACGGCAGCTGGGCATCATCCTCCGAGTAAATGAACCCTGTATGTTTCCTCCCTGCTCATGCCTGCATGATATTGATTGTTCAGTGCAATACTGCTTGTGACTCAGAACCTGGATACCCAGCAAACTGACGATGCACAACTTGCAACCTGCTTCTTTCCCACAGAAAAAGGCAGAGCACCTCCACCACTCACCAAGGCCCCCCCCCCCCGTAAACCCGCCGGTTCCATAAACCAAGGCGCTGCCGTCGCCCATCTCTCGGTACATGGTCAGGGCCTGTCAGACAAACCTCTTGCCTCAAAGGTGTCCCAGCAACACCCCGCTTTGAAGCACCATGCGAAACATGCCCTTCAAAGAACAGCCTGGACTCCCAGGAAAATGCTCTTTCACGCTTCCCTTTCTTTTTTGGTGGCCGACCCGGGTGAATCATGAAGTCTCTTTCAAAATGCTGCCAATAAAGGAAGCATCCCATCTTGGATTGCAGGTTTATTGGAATCCTGACACGTCGAATTGTACCATCAATGCTGAACAATACTTGCCACAGTAGGAGGAAGGTCACACACTTTCGGTTCGGTTCAAAGAGCCTAAGCATGGTCGGACCAAAAAACTATCAAAAAAACACGAATTACCACTCAGAGGAGAAGTGTCTGCTTTGCCATGCTTTTGTTGTGTTTGGTGTCTCGAGGATTCTTTGTTTGTGGTGCCTGTTTGTTTGGCATTAGCCTACCAAAAAACGACAAAACTCGCGTTGTGTTTCTTGTTTGGTCGGAAAATGCCAGACAAACAATAAATATCAAGTGAAACAAGAAACTCCGCATAAAAATGCGCGACAACACGAAAAGATGCAGAACCCCTCTGAGATGGCTCTGTGTCTCTTGTAGTTGTTGTTCAGTTCTGGTAGTTTTGTTGTCAAGTGCAACAAACCATGCTCACCAGACGTAAACGACGCCAATGAAAGCGTTTTTGTTTAGCTTCAAACAAGCAAGCCATGGGTTTTGCAAATGTTCTTGGATTTGCAGATACATCGGATGGCCGAATTCGGGCCATCCATCAAACTCAAAACCCTGGAAAACACACATCGCCTAGCAATTTTACAAGGAGTCCGCTGAACAGTTCCCGGGCACTGCCATTTGGCCATGTGTCCAAAAGATGGCCCCTGGTTGGTGTCCAACATTTTTTCCCCGAAGAAGACTCGCCACTTGCACAGTGCGACCCAACTTTGGGAAAGTGCCATCTTTGGGAAAAAAGAAAAAATCAACATGAAAACAAGACAACAAGACAAAAAAAAAAAAAACAAGGGCAATGAAAAGGAAACCGAGCACCTGACCCGGATAGACCCGTCTCCCTCCCCCAAAGGGGACCGGATCCGCGCCTCCCGAAAGCACCGCAACGCCTGGTCCTGGCGATCCAAACCCAAGAGCACCGGCAGCTTCATCGGCCCGGGAAATGCCTCGAGGCCTTTGAAAATCTACTCCCAAATTTGGCTGCGAGGGATTCAAAACCCTGGAAAGCCCTGGTAAATTTTAAAAAGATGGCAAATGGATCGCCATTATGCCCCGTTATTGGTTCATCTGATGTTCATCTTTCTGTTGCCTATGTTTCGCCAATTGGGATTCGGGTCAAGCAGATGACACGCGGATGCAGACACTGGGCACAAACTTTGCCGGCCGGTGGCATCCACCGGAAAGGTCTTGAGCTGGAGTTCTGTAATCCCATCCCAAACCGCGGATGGTTGCGAAATCCAATTCGCACCACCCAAGAAACCCATTTGCAATGATTCGCTTCCCCGTTTTTTTTCCCAACAAACCATATGTGTCCATGATTCTTCAAAGTGCTGCGATTTGTGGATTTCGCCACCAACAGCATCTCAGGACTTCCAAGGCCCAAGTGTCCGGAGTTCAGGTCGGCCCCAGGCTACCCCCACCTTCTCCCGCTGCATGGCGTGCACCTCGCCCAGAAGCAGGCTGCACACTGCCTGGCGCATTCGCTTCCGCCCACGCACGTGGTGCATGGGTGAATGACAAGAGTTTGGGCCAAAGAAACCTCTGGAAGAAAAAAAGAAAAAAGAAGAAGCACCGCATGAGCCATAAGATCTCTTTTGAGGGCCTTTTCGGTTTCACTTTGAACCCCCCAGCCAAAAACCGGTGAATTAAACTACCCCCTCCAAAAAAATCGACAGAGGCGAAGAAGACGGCACCGAAACCCGAACCCCTTGGAACCCCAGAACTTCCAACTTTGAAAACCCAGAAACACCGCCCATCCCCCCGCCCCAGGGGAAAACCCCCCACCCACCCCATCCCCCCCCCCCGCGCAGGGGAAAACCCCCCACCCCACCCACCCCACCCCAGAGGAAAACCCACCCCACCCACCCCCACCCCCCACCAGGAGAAAACCCCCACCCCCCAGAGCCGCCGGGGAGCCTCCCCGGCGCGGGACTCGAGGCGCTGGAAGCCCCGCTGCGCGTCCAGCGCCAGGTCCAAGGCCTCTCGACTCGACGCTCGACTCCGCGCGGGCGGAAAACGCGGTGGACTGATCGGCCCAAGCCGACTTTTGGGTCAAGGGAATGAGTGGCTTCGGAAAAGCGAGACCTGGAAAATGAGCCCAAGGAAAATTATACTTGAAAAGAAAAATCCGATGTTGGCGGTGGGGAAACCCCAAAATAGCTTGCCCTGGTCAGTGGAAACATGGACTAAAATTCCTGCAGCCCCACGTGGTTTGGTTTTGACCCATACCCATTTTGGGTCAAGGGAATGAGTGACTTCGGAAAAATGAGACCTGGAAATGAGCGAGCGGAAAAAAAAAATCCGAGTTGGAGTCCTTGATTCGGGAATCCCCATGAATGAGTTGTTGGAATGACCCCTAAAAATAGACTATGCGACCGACGTTTATTCGAGAATTCCTAAGTTCATTGGTTCTCGGCGGCAGGGAATGAGTTGTCGGAATGATCCCGATAAATACACCATCCAACCAAGTTGGTTTCCTTTTTAAGGGAATCCACCAACAATTCAGTCCCAAAATCCAGACTCGGATGATTCCCTACTGAGCACCAGCGGGAAATGAAGCCTTTGCGCGAAATGGTGTAAGGAGAGGTTGGCTTCCTGGTTCACCTTCAAGCCACTGAAAAGAGGGCTGCAACTCTGCAACCCAGCTGTGAGAAAGAAGGACAACTTGGAAGGAAGCAAGGGTTCAACCAACGGAAACAGAACGACAAAGAGCGAGCTCTTGCTTGCGGTGCGCAGGCAGATTCGTGAGATCGTCAGACTGTCCTGTCCCGCTCGCAGGCGACCAGTCCGGATGAGTCCAGTTCCGGGAACAGTGAAGAGGTGTCTTTTTTCTTCAGGGCCCCCTTTTGCTTGGTTTCAAAGAGAAGCCCCAAAAAGAAGACCCATTTTGGGGGCTCCGAATCTAATAAAAAAGACGCGCAGCCCAGTTGATGTGAGGGATCGCCTTGAGAGAACATCTTCGCGCCCGGCCCCCATTCCTAAACCCGCCTGGTCGGCATCCCCACCGGGCCGAGCGCAAATCCTCGCGGAAAGAAATGTTCTTGCTGGTGCGAGAAATGCAGAGAATGAGAATTGGAATGATCCCGAAAAAAGAAGAAGAAAAAAAACATCCCGATTTGGTTCCTTTCAGGCCCTCATTGCTGAGCACCAGCAAGGAAACCCTGAGGCGACCTTCTTTGGACTGCAAAAATATGTGCGGAGCCCATGTCAGCGCGAGAAAAGAGTATCAAGAGTCTTGCAGAACGTGAAGGGGCGTGGGACAAAGGACCCTGTTGGAAAAGACGCGCCGCAAGCGGATCAACTCGCACCTTGAACCAGAAGAAGAGACCGACCCAAGCCGGAAAGAACTGGAACCCCAGTCCTATGAGGTGATTAGCCATTCTATCAAGTGATCAAAAGCCTCCAGTGGCTTATGGCAAAGGAAACAGTCCATCTGCTCATGTTGCGTGATTGGCCTTCTCTTTTCATACACATCTCCATCCGCACCGCTGTTGGTCATGCCCCGAGAGACGTCGGAAAGAACTGACCATGCTGAGATAGGTGCTTGCTCGGGTTGCAGGTTTAGGGCTCATACATCGCCACGCTAAGGAACATCCTCATTGTTGAACCAGACCCCATCCTTCTCTCCCACCGCAAAATGGAAAAGTCCACCCCCCCCCCCCCCACCCAGCGGCCGCGACTTCGACACAGAACCCAAGCGGCGATTCCCAATTTGCCGAGTGGTCTCGAGCAAGCCTTCGGAGCAGAGACCCGACCATGGCGAAACAAGTCGGAAGATCACCTCGCAGGAAATCCTCACACAGCTCGAAGAGATATCAACTCCCAAAGTGGGGGGGGGCCCACATTCTGACACAGGAAGCACCCTTAGAAACATCCAAGACTCGAAATCTCCTGCAAAATCCACGACTTGGGCAACATGTTGCAAGCCTTCCGGAGAAAAACAAAAAAAAACGCAAGCCGTCCGGAGTTTCCCAGGTTTCTTTCTACTTGGAGGGGTCTCCAAATGGGGGGGGGGAGCGTGGGGGCGTGAGGGACTCCCCCCTTTTTTTCGGCTTCCTGTTCGGCTTCCACTTGCCCGTCCTGCCCAACTGCAGCTTCACCACTACCAGGCCTTCCTCCAGGTACTGCTCCTTCCGGCGAATTGGCAGCGGTCGGTCGGTGGAGAAACCGCCAATCGCCTCGAGTCCGCTGGTTGGCTTCGTTGCGAAAGAACCGGCAATTGAAACCCCAAACCCAAGCCGCTCCGAAAAAGATGAGTGTGGATTGCATGGAGTGTTCACATGCCAGACACAAACAAACGCGAGGCTGCGTGTAACGACGCTTGCTCGACCAATCGGATCTGTTCAAAGCATGAGATCAACATGAAGCTGGTGGTCCCTGTCTGTTGGCATTGGGCAGTTGGCGACCACAGACTTGGAAGTAGGGACAAGGGTTTCTTCAGGGTCATCAAAAAAAGACCGATCCACAACTGTGCTTGGGCTTGATTTGTTTGGCGGTTGCCAAAAGTAGCTTGTCCTGTACGATTGTGGCTGGCCTTCCATATCTACCAATCTAACAGGAAGATATGGGATTTCGAGTACTGGAACACTTGTTTATGGAAAGCACCGCTCCGGAAGAAACAAGCACACACCATGTGCTGATTGATATCGAAGGACAATGTGTGTGTGTGTGTGTGCGCTTGCAGTTCATCAAATGGAGCATTTCCAAGGAACCCAATCGGATTTCACCGAATTTGTAGCATCTACACTGGGGGTTCGCTCGAAATTGTAATCCGAAAAACAACATACACAAGGCACAAGTCCTGCAACCGTCTGTAGCTAAGAGTCTAAGAGGGTGGAGTCGTTTCTTTGACTAGCCCCGGCTCCTAAACAAAAGAGCCGCCCTCATTAAGATCTCAGCAAGCCCACAACTCACCCTAACCCAACCTTGAGCAACTCTCAACTGCCACCAAATCAGAGCGGGTGAGGCTGGTGCTGGGGATGCGGGCCAACCTATCAAGCAAGCAAGTAGGCAAACCAACCAAGTTAAGCCCCAACGCGGTTTAGCAAAAAAGACAAGCTCAGGTGATATCCCCAACAACCAGATTCCGGTCCGAGAACTCGGAACCGCCTGTGCATCCCCGTAATCCCTCTCCGCAACCCGCCCCAGACCCCGGAGCCTATCTGGGGCAACCCAAAGCTTTCAGCTGGGGAACACGATCCCGTCTAAGAGGCTCTCCCCACTGAAATGGGCAGGGTACGCCAGGTACCATTACCATGTGCTATAACCAGACCTACGAACCACCTGCCTGACGTTAAAAAAATTGGCCCCTTTAAGCTTTCCCTTTCACCCGAGGGAGTCCACCGAACGCCGCCGTCCCTCGTGACCGAATCTCCCGCGCCGGGACCTCTGCAATGGCCTTCGCAGAGGCAACCTGTCCGGAAAAATCCGGAGAGTCCTTCTCTCAGCTTCGAGCCGAACCGGGGTCCCCGGAGTTCCCCGAACAAAAAAAAATGATCAGCGAGCCGGATCTCCTCGAACCAAGAGTTGATCAATTTACTGGTGGTTGCCCTTGAAACGATCGAATTCCGCTTTGGAGGTTCCAAAAGGGGAATGGAGGAGAGCCTATCTAACCAACTTGGAAACTTCCAATGATATTCGAACCGCGACCAGCAGCGTGTAAAAGCAAAGGCTGCGGAGTGTCGCATTCACAAACTCACCCTTCCAAGAAAAGTATAAGGCTTTTGCAAATATTTTTCTTGACATGCAGTTGTCCAAAGTCTCACGCTTGCGTCCAAACACAACCTGTGAAAATCAAACCACTCAATTTAAACCCGCAAGCAACAGAGGAACAACAACTTCGGGTAGCGGTTCTGCGGGTAAAAGGCTTGGTCCGGGGGGCTAACCATGAAGGGCTTCATGCGCTCAGCCATCTACCTACACCACCAGGGAACTAAACCCATGCAATTCCATCCAAAACCCATCCAAAACCCATCCAAATCCATTTAAATCCATGCAAAGCCATCCAAATCCATCTAGATCCATCCAAATCCATCCAAATGATCACCATCTACACGTCACACCGCACACGTCAAATCTACACGTCACCTTGCGCCCACGTCACCTCTACGCCCGCTGGTCCTCGCCTTCTCCGCCGCCTGCCTGGGATCCTCCAGGCTTTCGGCCACCTGCCAAGGGAGCCATGGTACTGACGAAATCCAGGTGGGTTGCCCTGTAAATAGCCACAAACGTTATGGTGTCAACCGTGGAAAAACCATCCACCGTACGGAAACGTCACGAAATATTTTCAACTAAGCACTTGGTGTTGACCCAAAACGAATGAAAAGCAAGAGAGAAAGAGAAAGAGAAACAGACAGACAGACAGACAGACAGACAGACAGACAGACAGACAGACAGACAGACAGACAGACAGACAGACAGACAGACAGCAAGGAAGCAAGGAAGCAAGGAAGCAAGGAAGTAAGGAAGCAAGGAAGCAAGGAAGCAAGGAAGCAAGGAAGCAAGGAAGCAAGGAAGCAAGGAAGCAAGGAAGCAAGGAAGCAAGGAAGCAAGGAAGCAAGGAAGCCAGGAAGCCAGGAAGCCAGGAAGCCAGGAAGCCAGGAAGCCAGGAAGCAAGGAAGCAAGGAAGCAAGGAAGCAAGAAAGCAAGGAAGCAAGGAAGGAAGGAAGGAAGAAAAGAAGGAAAAAGAAGGAAATGATTGAAGAAAGAAAGAAGCAAAGGCCGAAATCCTTGAAGGCATTGGCATCAATTTGAGCAAGTGTGCAGGGGATGCATTTCTTCCTTTGCAGGCAGACTGGCACTTAACTGGCCGAAGTGCTACCAAACAGCAGCCGCTACCAAACGGCCACCGCCGTTTTGTTTGCATGAAACGCGCTCCAATACCTTTCAACCACATTGACAGTACTCCACATCTCGGAGCTTCCCAAAACAAAACAAAAAACCCTTCATGGGAATTCGCTCCAACAACGACCGAATACGCCGCTCACGCAAACCTTGCAAAGGCCCAGCACGCGGAGCCGGTGGTCCCCTGACCTCGGCGAGCGGCGAGCGGCCCCCCCCTCCCCTTCCCAGTATGGTGGACACTTAGGGTCCATCTCGCAACCTGCTTCATTTCGGGCATTGGTGTTTTTAGGGTTCTTGGCTGCAACATATACTCCCCATACTGAACACTGAATCATTGAGTGTGAAAAGATGCTGATTCTTCATAGCTTCTGCCAGCAGACCATTGCTCGACAACCAATGTGCTTTTTCTCACACAAAGGTCCAAGCAAGCCTTCACTTACACTTTTTGTCAGGCGGCCGAACGTGCGCAGCCATATCACCACATGTCCCATGCTGCATTGTTATTGCTCAAAGCCATCAAGCAAAGTGCGAAGTGCGCTCCGACGGATATCTGCAAAGTGGCCCAAAGCCTGCAAATGAACTGTCAAAAGCCCTGCCGGATTGATTTGGAGAAGCCCAGCCCCACAAGAGAACCCCAGAAGGGCCCAAGCGCCAGTCGGCTTCGCCGTCGCTCCCAAAGTCGCAGCTTGGCAATTGGAGGCCAAAGGGTCCTTCTGCCTTTTTTTTGTCCATGACAAACATGCAGAGAGCTTGGGAAAATGAGCATCCAGGACCAGAGAAGGGCTTGGACAAAGCCTTCCGAAGCCGGAGCCTTGCCTGTCAAGCTCTCCACCCCAAAGTAATCATCAGACGACCACCAACCTTCAATCCCGATTCAAGCTATCAGTGGGTGGTTTGGATTGGTGGTTTGGATTGGCGGTTTGGATTGGTGGTTTGGATTGGTGGTTTGGATTGGTGGGTTTGGATTGGTGGTTTGGATTGGTGGGTTTGGATTGGTGGGTTTCGATTGGTGGGTTTGGATTGGTGGTTTGGATTGGTGGGTTTGGATTGGTGGGTTTGGATTGGTGGTTTGGATTGGTGGGTTTGGATTGGTGGGGTTTGGATTGGTGGGTTTGGATTGGTGGTTTGGATTGGTGGGTTTGGTTTGGTGGGGTTTGGATTGGTGGGGTTTGGATTGGTGGTTTGGATTGGTGGGTTGGTGGGTTTGGATTGGTGGGTTTGGATTGGTGGGTTTGGATTGGTGGTTTGGATTGGTGGGTTTGGATTGGTGGGTTTGGATTGGTGGGTTTGCATTGGTGGGTTTGGATTGGTGGTTTGGATTGGTGGGTTTGGATTGGTGGGTTTGGATTGGTGGTTTGGATTGGTGGGTTTGGATTGGTGGGGTTTGGATTGGTGGGTTTGGATTGGTGGGTTTGGATTGGTGGGTTTGGATTGGTGGGTTTGGATTGGTGGGTTTGGATTGGTGGATTTGGATTGGTGGGTTTGGATTGGTGGTTTGGATTGGTGGGTTTGGATTGGTGGGTTTGGATTGGTGGTTTGGATTGGTGGTTTGGATTGGTGTTGGGTTTGGATTGGTGGTTTGGATTGGTGGGTTTGGATTGGTGGGTTTAGTTGGTGGGTTTGGTTTGGTGGTTTGGTTTGGTGGGTTTGGTTTGGTGGGGTTTGGATTGGTGGGTTTGGATTGGTGGGTTTGGATTGGTGGGTTTGGATTGGTGGGTTTGGATTGGTGGGTTTGGATTGGTGGGTTTGGATTGGTGGGTTTGGATTGGTGGTTTGGATTGGTGGGTTTGGATTGGTGGGGTTTGGATTGGTGGTTTGGATTGGTGGGTTTGGATTGGTGGGTTTGGATTGGTGGGTTTGGATTGGTGGGTTTGGATTGGTGGGTTTCGATTGGTGGGTTTGGATTGGTGGTTTGGATTGGTGGGTTTGGATTGGTGGGTTTGGATTGGTGGTTTGGATTGGTGGGTTTGGATTGGTGGGGTTTGGATTGGTGGTTTGGATTGGTGGGTTTGGATTGGTGGGTTTGGATTGGTGGGTTTGGATTGGTGGTTTGGATTGGTGGGTTTGGATTGGTGGTTTGGATTGGTGGGTTTGGATTGGTGGGTTTGGATTGGTGGGTTTGGATTGGTGGGTTTGGGTTGGTGGTTTGGATTGGTGGTTTGGATTGGTGGGTTTGGATTGGTGGGTTTGGATTGGTGGGTTTGGATTGGTGGGTTTGGATTGGTGGGTTTCGATTGGTGGGTTTGGATTGGTGGTTTGGATTGGTGGGTTTGGATTGGTGGGTTTGGATTGGTGGTTTGGATTGGTGGGTTTGGATTGGTGGGTTTGGATTGGTGGGTTTGGATTGGTGGTTTGGATTGGTGGGTTTGGATTGGTGGGTTTGGATTGGTGGTTTGGATTGGTGGGTTTGGATTGGTGGGTTTGGATTGGTGGGTTTGGATTGGTGGGTTTGGATTGGTGGTTTGGATTGGTGGGTTTGGATTGGTGGGTTTAAATTAGTGGGTTTGGGTTGGTGGGTTTGGATTGGTGGATTTGGATTGGTGGGTTTGGAGTGGTGATTTGGATTGGTGGGTTTGGGTTGGTGGGTTTGGATTGGTGGTTTGGATTGGTGGGTTTGGATTGGTGGGTTTGGATTGGTGGGTTTGGATTGGTGGGTTTGGATTGGTGGTTTGGATTGGTGGGTTTGGATTGGTGGGTTTCGATTGGTGGGTTTGGATTGGTGGGTTTGGATTGGTGGTTTGGATTGGTGGGTTTGGATTGGTGGGTTTCGATTGGTGGGTTTTGGTTGGTGGTTTGAATTGGTGGGTTTGGATTGGTGGGTTTGGATTGGTGGTTTGGATTGGTGGGTTTGGATTGGTGGGTTTGGATTGGTGGGTTTGGATTGGTGGTTTGGATTGGTGGGTTTGGATTGGTGGTTTGGATTGGTGGGTTTGGATTGGTGGGTTTGGATTGGTGGTTTGGATTGGTGGGTTTGGATTGGTGGGTTTGGATTGGTGGGTTTGGATTGGTGGTTTGGATTGGTGGGTTTGGATTGGTGGTTTGGATTGGTGGTTTGGATTGGTGGGTTTGGATTGGTGGTTTGGATTGGTGGGTTTGGATTGGTGGGTTTCGATTGGTGGGTTTGGATTGGTGGTTTGGATTGGTGGGTTTGGATTGGGTGGGTTTGGATTGGTGGTTTGGATTGGTGGGTTTGGATTGGTGGGTTTGATTGTGGTTTGGATTGGTGGGTTTGGATTGGTGGGTTTGATTGGTGGGGTTTGGATTGGTGGGTTGGATTGGTGGTTTGGATTGGTGGGTTTGGATTGGTGGGTTTGGATTGGTGGGTTTGGATTGGTGGGTTTGGATTGGTGGTTTGGATTGGTGGGTTTGGATTGGTGGGTTTGGATTGGTGGTTTGGATTGGTGGGTTTGGATTGGTGGGTTTGGATTGGTGGTTTGGATTGGTGGGTTTGGATTGGTGGGTTTGGATTGGTGGGTTTGGATTGGTGGTTTGGATTGGTGGGTTTGGATTGGTGGGTTTGGATTGGTGGTTTGGATTGGTGGGTTTGGATTGGTGGGTTTGGATTGGTGGGTTTGGATTGGTGGTTTGGATTGGTGGGTTTGGATTGGTGGGTTTGGATTGGTGGGTTTGCATTGGTGGGTTTGGATTGGTGGTTTGGATTGGTGGGTTTGGATTGGTGGGTTTGGATTGGTGGTTTGGATTGGTGGGTTTGGATTGGTGGTTTGGATTGGTGGGTTTGGATTGGTGGTTTGGATTGGTGGGTTTGGATTGGTGGGTTTCGATTGGTGGTTTGGATTGGTGGTTTGGATTGGTGGTTTGGATTGGTGGGTTTGGATTGGTGGTTTGGTTCAGGAGGGCCTTCCCATGTACCATCTACAAGAACCAGGAAATGGCTCAAATCCCCGGTTGCCACCAATCCAAACCACCAATTAGAGGGGAGGCTGACCCTGGTGGCAACACGGCAAGACGAAGGGCGGGCACCAACAAAAACCACCGGCTGTCCCTACAGCCTGGGCCAGGCTGGGCCTAACTCACAGGCTGGGAGACCGGGCAGAGAGGCGGCCTTCAGGAGCGCCTCCCCTTGCACCCGTGCCTGCGGATCGCCCAGAACCTTCCGACGTCAGGGGAGTGGTGAGCTCGTAAGCCGAGTTCTCACAACCACAAAAGCCCATGGCTTAAGCTTCAGTCTCCATTGTCAGTGTATATATATATATATATCAGCCGTGGCTTTTATTCAGTCACAAAATGGTCGGCGGGTGTTTTAGAACTCACCCTTGCGATCATACCTGACATACCGAATCGATCGCAGATCGATCGCAGTGAGCTTCTTTTCCGAGCCTCTCTTGTCGTTCACTTCTCGTTCAGGTTTGCCCGATTTCGTGATTCCTTTCGACATGTCCATTTCATCTCGTGGGGAAACCGAAATGGATTTCGCAAACCCGCAGTTGGGGCCCGCAGAATTCTTGATTTCTATTGAGCTGGATCTTTAGACTCTAACTTTTGGGAAGTTCAAAGGGTTCCATGAAACCCAAAAAAAGTTACGCCTTTTGCAGAGGGGTCAACAGCAACCAAGTCTTCAAGTTTCATGATTCTCTGCAGTCCACGCATCAGAAGAAAGCAAAGGCGCGAGACAAGAGGCTTTTTCCGTGCTGCTTCTCTTTCTGAGACCCGGCCAAAGAAGAAAGATATTTGAGACGCTTTCTGGGCCCAAGGTGGTCTCGTGGCAATTTGCACCACTCATCGTGTGTTTCGAGTAACCTCCAGCTCCAAGTTGTCAAGCAGACAAAAATGCCGTCTTTGCTCTCTTTTGTGAGGGAAATCGGCAGAGATCTGTGTCAATGGTGCAGAGATCTGTAACCAGATGCCATCTGAAATGCTTCTCCCCAGGCTTCTCCCTGTTTCTTCTTGGTTCCTTGTTTTTCCCTAATGCTTCCCTATAAATGAGCCGCTCAGCGGCTCCGAACTCGCGCCTCCTCCGCCGTGCTCGGCCGCAAGACCTGGCAGCAAGCCTCAACAAACATTTTTCAACCCATCCTTTTGACAGGGCTCACTGGATTTCCGACCACAAGTAAACAGGAATAGCTTTGCCAGGGGAAGTAGGGGATTATGGTGATGTATGTCTGGCACTACACGGGGCTCGCTGGATTTCCCCGAACCAGAAGTCGATCAATTTACAGGCGCTTGCCATTGAAACGATCGAAATCCACTTTTGGAGGTTCGAAAAGCGGACATCGAGGAAACCGAGCCAACACGTCCAACTGGGTGTGTGCTTTTTTTGAGGCTACCCAGTTTTGGTGGTTTTAAAGAGAGACCTGAAGAAAACCACCCATGCTTGAAGCCTCCCCTTAAACATCAAAAAAAACTGACAGAAACACGAATTGGATCCCACCACCATCAAAGGCCAGGCCTGGTCCAGCCCAGTTGAGACCTGCCATTTCTCACGCAGTGAGAAGTTTCAATCCAAAGCAATGACACTTCCTCGTTGCAGCAGCGAGAATCCCAAAAATAACAACCACAACTCCTGATAAAGTTGTCAAACATCAAGTACTCCCCCTGATTTTTCTTGATGTTCTATTTTCACCACTCGGCTCTATCCAGGCCTCGGTCATGGCATCGACTTTGCAGCGCAACTTGTGGTTTGCCAGGCACCTGCAATTTGACTGGGACTTGTTTGTCCAAATGTCTGGGTGACTGAAAAGAAAGGCCAGGGGCGGATTCACAAAGAAACCCAAGGACCCCAAAGGGTTGACCAGCAAGGCTTGGAGCCCAGATGGCACTGCTAGTTTTGAGCCTCCGGCAGCAAAAGAATGCACGGTGGCAAAGTGCATGACAAGCAAAATTATTCGTCCGGGCGAAGGAGAAGAAGCAAACTGTTGTGACGCGAAGCAATGACAACAGAATTCAGTTTCCCTCTCCTTGGTTTGGATTAGTGGTTTGGTGGTTTATGGTTTTCCACTCACCCTCTAGGGTTCAATTCACCAAACCACCAACTGCCTGAACAATGGTGTTTGCCATGGGTTGCCAAGGCTTCAAATCGTGTCCACACATTCGCCCCTCCCAAATGCCCTGCTGAAATTGTCCGTTTCCCATTGCCACCGATTCTCCCATTTCCTTGTTTGAACAAATTTTGTACATGTGCAATATCATGTGATCAGCAAAAACACATTGTCAATGTTGGAAAGATGCACAAAATTGCAGACAAAACGCATTTAAGTGAACGTCTACTTATAAGAGCCCCAAGTCCAAAACTATTGTTGTCGTAACAACTTGATCCAGCCAGACTCCAGTTTAAGTATGGTCTTGTGCTGTTTCTTCGTCTAACGCGGACGGATTTTTTCCGCTAGAAGATTGACAGACCTCAGCAAATGAAAGACTTGGTCGAAAACACCAGTCTTGGGTCGGTTCCCAGCCCCTGCTTGGCCACTGACAAAGTTTACACAGATTTTTAAGACCAATGCGTGGAAAAAAAAACGTTTTAGAAGGCCAATCGACCTACCTGACCTACGTGCTCAAGCTGCCACGATGACATGCCAATCATTGTCTCATTTGCAAAGTTCGTTCCCGTTTTAACAAGAGGCTCATTTTGCAAAGCGTTGTTTACTTCAACAAAAACTGCCTATCCGCTCCTTATTTTGCCTGATGACTTGAGGAGCGGGTGAACGAAAGCTAGCAGTTGTTGCATGAGATGGGTCGGTGACAGAGTGCATTCATGAGTAGCTTGTGTACAACGAGAGGCCCGGCAAGATTCGTAGGATGCGACACGCAAACGCACATGGTGGCGTGGCAAACCTTGAAAAATGAAAACTGTCTTAAAGCACCTCTGGGTTCTGCATGCTGCGTGTGCAAAGAGTCTTGCGAGGTGGTTTACTGAGAAGACTGAGGTCTCAAATGAACAAGCTGAATCGGTGGAACATGTAAAAGTTCGTAGCACCAAGTCCAAAACGGGCAAACCGAGACTGCTGAACACTGAGCCACTGCGCGGGGGGGGGGGGATGGACCAGGGAGGAATCGAGCCTGAGACCGGGGGGGGGGAGGGGAGGGGGGAGAGGGGGGGGGTCTAAATAATTGATGTTTTTCAATCTTTTCGGCTCAAATAATTGAAAAAATCAATTCGGCATTTGAGCCCCTTACCTTGCTTACGCAAGGAGAGACTTCAGCTAGCTAAAGCTAGCTTTCGTGAATTGGCATCTTGGCGCAATGTTTTTTCTTTCTTGATCCATGCGGCCGAAGCGACTGAGCCGTTCGGTGGGGAAGTGAGAATAGTAAGGAAAGGGTGCCTATAGTAACCTAATTGTTTCCGTTTTTTGGCCCGAAAAGCTGCAAACAGCCTTTTTTCCATTGTCACCAAAGAAGTCACCCCCATGTCACCTCTACCTTTTGGGTGCAAAAGTGCCCAAAACGGCCATTTTCCCGAATTCCTGAAAACCTCGTTCTTTTCGGTCAGAAAGTAGTAGGCATAAGTTTTGCGTTTTCAGCCAAACGGCCTTAGCAGGGCTTAGCTGCGCAGGCGTCCGGTCTGCCAACGGCATGAACGACGTAGTTTGTTTTTGCACGACATCTGTAAGCAGATGGTAGAAAATTGTTTGTTTTGCATGGTTTTGTAGTTGGAGGGTCCCTCGGTAGATATATACATATCTATATATATATATATGTATACATATATATATATATATTCACACACGTCTTTTAAAATCATTCCAGACATAGCTACATATTCTCGAAAAGCAGACACTAGCAGACAGCAGAAAACAACGTTTTTGAGGCTCCTGCGAACCCGAGTCCCCGTCGGTTGGCCCGGTCGAATTATGAGCCTTTCCTGGGGCATGGGGGCGCCTGGAGGCCAGAAGACTGCGGGATCATGTGTAAAGGAGCATGCTTGCACGAGCACAAAGTGCCGCAGTGGCAGTGAGCAGACGGGTGCAGACCTCGCCCTGTCGAGAGACGTGCCAAACTGCCTCTCATCACTGCTCGTGCGCGCTCGCTGTTTTTGTTTTTTTTCTTCCGCGAGCGAAACAAAAAAGGCGTAGCATTGGACGGCGCATGCTTTTCGGCACGCCCGCACTCCGTCCCTATACAGGCCCCATCCCCGACGCAAGCTGCCCTCTCTATCTGGCGGTGATGTGCAAGCAGCCTACTACACCTCGGCGCAGGTGGACGCGCTGTTGGCCGACGCACGGCGAGCGCGATCGCGGGCGCGCTGCTGGCCTACCGGACGGGCCCGGACCAGGACGTCTTCACGAGCAACCAGATCACCTCGGCGCTGGTGGCGTACCGCTCGGCCGCCGACCAGGACACGGCAACGGCCTCGAGCATCGCAGCCGCCCTGCTCAGCTACTACACCATCGCGCAGGTGGACGGTTTGCTAGCTGGCAAGCTCGGAGTCGCGGAGGAAGCCTTGGCCCTTAAGATAGCCGTTTGCGGAGGGGCCGACCTCATCGGCGAGCAGATCCTGGGCCCCACGGACGTCTCCCTGGCAAACTGGACGGTTCGTCCCAGCAGCGGCTGCAGCGTGGTCCTGGCCACGCACACCGTGGGCGCAGTGAGCGTGGACGGCTACACCCTGACCCTGGCAGCGAACCCGTGGAACATCGTGCGCGCCTACAACTTGACGCCCGGCCAAGAGCTCCTCTTCGCCTGCCGGCACCGGCTCGGCACGGCCTCCAACTTCGTGGCGCACATGTCCGAGGCCGACAACGTCTACGACCCCCTGTACGGCAGCTTCGTGGGTGACCAGGGCGCCTGGAGCATGGCCAAGATGTACTTCACCGTGCCGCCGAACGGAATTGCAAAGCTGCACTTCGGGGCGCACTTCCAGGCACCGGGCCTGCCCAATCAGATGGCAGGAACGGTGGAGGTCTACGGCCTCCAGATCCTGGACGCAACCCTGGAGGCCGGCAACTGCTGGAGCCCACCCTACAGCCAGAGCTCCGTAGCCTCGGCCAGCTTCATGGTGGGAGGCTTCGAGCTGGAGGGCTACGCCATGACCCTGAGCGCCTTCGCCTGGAACATTGCGCACTACACCCTGACGCCGGGGAGACGCTACTTCTTTGGCTGCCGGTACCGGCTGGGCACGGCCTCCAACTTGGTGATGTACGTCAGCGCGGCCGACAACGACTACGTGGGCCAGCAGCGCAGCCGCGAGGGCGCGTCCGCCGCCGCGACGGAGAGCAGTCGGCCGTGATGCTCAGCGTGTCGGCGCCGTTGGCCAGCGCAGCAGAGAGAGGAGCGCAGGTTGCGAACGACGTTGCTTCCGCGAACGAGCTCCCAAGTCGTGAAGCCCGCCCAGGCCGGCGCGTTAGCGATTCCGCCGCTAGAAAGCTGCAGGGCGGCAAGCTCCGCGAGGATTGCGTCGAGGGCGCCCTGGAGCGCGGTCTCGCTGGCGGAGAGCGCGGCGTTCGTGGCGTACGAGGCCAGCAGCGTCGCGTCGGCCTTGGCGCCCTGGAGCGCCGAGATGCTGGCGCCCCGGCTAGCAAGCTGCGCTGCGACGAAGGCCTCGGTGGCAAGACCCAGCAGGGCATTTGCTATCTCGGTGTCCACCTCCAGCGGGCGGCCAGCGCGCTTGCGTCCGCCTTGCCGACGAGGGCGGCGTCCTAGTACTGCGCTGCGCACAGAAGAGGCACTTCCAGATCCTTCGTCTCGGCTGCCAGCGCCATCCCTCGATCTGCGGCGAAGACCATAGATCGCGCTGATGGTGGACGGGCCAGACCCGCCCGGTCTGGACATCGTGTTGAAATTTGAGCCCGTGCGACATCCGGAGCTGGGACTTCACGACGTTTCCGTCGGGGCACTTCGACATGGTCTGGGCCAGCCCGGTCTGCACGGAATACAGCTGTGCGCTGACGCGCTGGTGCTCAGCGCCCTCAAGATCATTGCACACTTCAACCCCCTCGTGCGGGTCGTCAAGAACCCGGCCACCGGGCTGCTGAAGACCTGCCCGCTCAGGAGCGCCTGCCCTGGGTGGACGTGACCTACTGCTAGTACGGAACTCCGTACAGGAAGCAGACCCGGGACCAACATGCGCTGGAGGCCGAGCCGAGGGCTGTGCAAGCCCGGCAGCCGCTGCGACGCGTGGCGAGACGGCAAGCACCTGGGCAAGTGGATCTTCGAGCCCGCGTCGTTGTCCCAGAAGGTCACGAACGCGGCCATCAGTTTCGTAAAAAACGCGTTGTGCTCCGCCACGCTGTTCGGGACGCTGGACTGCCGTCACCGGCACCTTCACGGCGCGCCTGGACTTCTTGGCGCCGAGTCGCGAAGCTGCACTTCGGCGCCTTCGGCGGGTTGATCTCCGGGTTGGTGCAGCAGTCGGCGGGCACGCTGGACCTGTGCAGCCTGCAGATCAGGGCCAGCGCCTTTGAAGGAGAGTCGGTCTCCGTGACGGACCTGCTGGCCGACTTGCTGGCCCTCACAGGCTCGGCCACGCTGGACGGCCTCACCGCGCAGGGCAACGTGGGCTGCTGTCCAACGACGTGAACTGCACTGACGTGTTCACGACGGGCGTGACGCCTTGGACGCTGTCTTCTGCGCAGCGCTGACGTCCGCCGGCGCCATGTCCGGAGCCACGCTGACGTCCGCCGGCGCCGTCTCGGGCTGAGCTCGGCCACCGGACTCACCGGCAGCACTCTCACCATCAACAACACGGCCAACGCCGGGAACTTCACCACGGTCGGCGACGCACTGGTGCGCCCCGCCATCCCGCTCCAGGAAGACCCGCGCGCTCTGCCCAGCATGCAAAGGAGAGTGCTCTGCAAAGAAGCGTGAGAGTGCTCTGCAAAGGAGAGTGCTCTGCAAAGAAGCGTGCTCTGCAAAGGAGAGTGTAGAAGCCTCCCGGCCGCGCCACCTGCCCGGCATCGGAGCCACGCCAGCCCGCCGAGTCATACGAATCACGTGTTTTAATGTCCAACCGCTTTCCAGGCTACGGGTTTGCCCAACATGGAGGCTTCGATACCGAGCGCGCCACATTCCTGCCTGGCATCGGAGCCAGCCTGCCGGGTCGGAATTCTTCCCAGCAAAAGAAAATCCAGTCTCCCCTGAAAGGAGGACTGTAGCGCGCTTTTATTTGACCCATGATCATGACCTGGACCATGAATTGAAGGATATTTTCCCTCAATTCATGTCCTGGTAAAGTGAAGGATGTTTTCCTTCACTTCATATACTCGTAGCCGATGTGAATGATGTTTTCCTTCACTTCATGTCCTGGTAGCCGAGCACATGCTATGTGGCGGCAAGCGCACCAGCCTGCCGAGCCCGCGCCACCCGAGACGGTCTCGAGGCGAAAATTTCGTGACAAATCACCGAAATTTTCGGCGAACTGTCCCGAAAATTTCGAGCGTCGTGCGCAGGTACCGCGATTGACCGGCGCCACCGGTCAAATCATTGTAACCACGGTACTTCCAAAAAACCCTGGCGCGGGCCTGGCGCGGGCCTGGTGCGGGCCTGGTGCGGGCTCCAAGACCGAAGCCGCGGAGCCGGCCTCGCTTTCAGGTCGTGAAAAAGGCCACCCACGGACTGTGCCACGGGGTGACACGTACTTGCGCAAACTTTGTCCCAACGCCTTCTCTTCAGACCTCGTCCAATCCGACCAAGCCCGAAGAGGCAGGAAGCCGGCAGACCTTGAGAGTTTTCCGAAGCTTTTTGCAGGGCCGACTTTGCGCAACGACTCCTAAGCAAACATGTTTGAAGGACCTATCCCGGAGGTCCTGGACAACGGAGAGGTAACTGACGGCACGCACGTCACCGCAGGGCAGCTGGCCCTCGCTTTCTGACGCCCTGCGCGCAAGTAACAGACCTGGCGGTGAACACGGCAGCCTCCGGCAACAACGCAGCCGCCATCCAGTCGCTGGACGACCGGGTCACCGCAGAGCTGGCGTCAAGCTGGACAGCAGCGCTGGCGCCGGCAATCGCGCCCCTGGCCACGGCAGCGGCCCTGGCCACCACGGACGGACAGGTTGCCGTGCACGGAAGCAGCATCGCCGCGTTGCAGAGCTCGCTGACCACGGGTCTCTCCAACAAGGCAGACCAATCGGCCTTCGACGTGCTGGAGGGCGTGGTGGCGACGAAGAGCACCCCGCACGGCGTGGCCCTGAAGCTGTCCAACTACAGCACCGCGGCGGCCATGAACGGCTCCATCGCCTTGGCCAACAACGCCACGCTGGCCACGGCGGCGGCCAACTACGGTCTCAAGACGGTGGTGGACCAGCACTCCCTGGAGGTCGACGCCGCCCTTGCAGGCAAGGCGGACGCCAGCGCGCTGGCCGCCCTGCTCTCCACGGTGGACGGGTTGGACACGCCGCTGGAGGTAGACACCAAGATAGCAAATGCCCTGCTGGGTCTTGCCACCAGGCTGTGTCTCAAACAGGCTTGTGACAAGCATCGGACTGACTTGTTACGCTTGCAAGGCATCAGATGAGCTTGTGAAGCATCAGACTGGCTTGTGGATCAGAATGGCTTGCGCAAGCATCAGACTGGCTTGTTCAAGCATTGGACTGGCTTGTTCCTTGCAAGCGCAAGGCAAGTAAAAAAGCGGTTGCCTTGAGTCACATTCCTGTGAGTTTCCGGCACCGCGCCGCACCCTCAAGCTCCTGCTACTTTGCAGCGCGGACGCGCGTCGGGGAGGAAAAACTTGCGGGTTTTTAAGCGGGCCCGCCCCGCCTGAGGAAGAAGACGACGTCTGCCTGGCGCAGAGACAAAAAACCAGGACGGCCTGGCCTAGACAGACCTTGCCAGCCTCAGCAGCCTTGAGCACTTCATTTCCACGGCAACCTTCCACAACAGGGCGGAGAGCACAGAACAAACCCATTTCACACACACACACACACGTCAAAGGCGGGGAGCGCAGCACAAGTCAACTGCAGACGCACACACGCACACACACACACACTCACACACACACAAACACACAAACACACAAACACACAAACACACAAACACACAAACACACACACACACACACACACACACACACACACACACACACACACACATTCGCGCGCGCGCGCGCCTTTTGCTCAACACACACACGCACAGACACACACACACACACACACACACACACACACACACACACACACACACACACACACACACACTCAACACACACACACACACACACACTGCGCGCGTCTTTTGCGCAACAGCTTTACTTTGGCCCGTCTCAGCACACTCCCAACGCGCAGGCTCCATTTTTTCTGCTCCCTTGCTCCCTAGGTCGCTTTGCAGACGGCTGGCTGCTGGTCCTTTGCGCCTTACGCTTACGCGGCAAGTCTTCAAAAGACAAGTCTGCTTTCCGACATGGCCAACTCTGCGTGCGCACAAAGAGCGCGTGCTTGCACTGAGCATGCAAGGAAAAGCAGCGGCATGTGCAGAGCAGCGGGTTGGCCCCCGTCACCCAGACATACACGACATCCTTGAAGACGCGCTTGTACGCCGACATCTGGGCAAAGGGCTGGCCGTCAAGGGTTTCCTGCAGCACGTTCGCTTCTGCCAAGCAACGCCGCGTGTCTGTCAGGCCTGTAGTGAGAAAGGCAGCGCCACAAGGACACCACCGCCCTGGGCCGGCTCCTGCATGAAAAGGGTCTGCAGCTCAAACGCTTGAAAGAAATCAAACGCGGTGGACCGCGCCTTGCCAGTGTGGTTCCGTTCAAGAGAGTCGGGTCTACTTTGGCGGGAACCGCTTGCAAGGGGCTGTGGTCGCACCAGCCGTAAAACCTACTCCACGTACGGTACAACGCTTGCATTGCATTGTGCGCAAACTCGTCACCACGTCGCCCTTGCCGCCAAGCACAGCTAGCTGGCGCTGCCAAGAGGAGTGGAGCGCCTCCGCGCTCTCATCGCCACTGCCGGACCCAGGCCAGATACCTTTGACACCAACCCAGAAAGCAGCGAAGCTGCACCCAGCCCACGCTGGATTCTTGGACACGAGCACAGACGGCACAGGCACTGCGTATTGAGCTTGCAGCCACGCCCGCACAACATCCTCGCCCCACAAATCCAGGCGGCGCAGCATGCCCTCCCACAGCAAGGAAAAATTGGGAGCGTTGGGGCCAGACGAATGTCTTGCAAGCACGACATCAGCCAATCAGCGTGGGCCTTGCAGCACTTGCCCGCCCGCATCTCCAAATTTGCACCGGCTCTCGAGCTCGCGGCGCTTCTGCTTGAAATGGAACCAGTCATCGCAGGGCCGGCTGTTCGGGAAGGCTTCCCTTCGCGCAGCTTCGATGGCAGGGGCAAAATCTTTGTGCAGCTGCCGGACGCACTGCTTCAGAGGCAGCTGGGAAGGGCAGCACTGAGCCCGCAGCGTCTCGGCTACTGCAAAAAGACGTAAGTAATTGGCCGTCGTTTCTTGGTGCATCGTGGCTTGCAGGAAAGGCATGGCTCGGGTAGTGAAAGCCTTTCCCTGCACGCGGCCTGCGCCGGCGTTCACATCAGTGCTTCGCAGCCCATCTTTAACAAGCAAGCTCAACGTGGCCACGCCTGCCCCGCCGTTGAGGACTTTCATCTTTGCGTCAACAGCCAAATTCACCTCGCCCCCAACGAATCGGCTCAGCGTCGACAGCATGCCTTTGCATGTGTACGGCACAAACACTTCCGTGGAGGACACAACTCTTGGCTCCAACACATACAAGTCTTCCGACGCGCTGCCGTCACGCGGCCAGTCATCCAAAGCAACTTGCGTTGGAGCCACTTCCCGCCCGGCGGCTGCCGGCTGCCCCACTTTCTTGCCTTGCTTCTTCCGACAGTTGAAATTCCGCATCCACGTGCTCATTTGCGGCAAGGTCGAAAGGGAATCTGCCAAATGGTTTTTGGACAACATGTGCTCTCGCAGCTGCTTCACGCTGCGCTTCCCTGCCTCTGCTGCGTCCATGTACTTCCTTGCGTCTTCCTCTTGACGCGGAGTCCACAGCCTTGCCTGTCTGCTGCCAACCTTTGGTTTGGAGTTGTGGTCGTGCTCCCCTGTACTGGTGACCAAGAGTGTGCCAGCTGCGTGACCTAGGCTTTGCAAAAAGTACGTGCAGCGCCAAGTAAATTGGCACGCAGCGTCCTCAGCGCAATGCACTTGCAGCGCCACGCGCGTGCTGTTTTTCCACACAAGCCGAATTTTGGTTCGGTAGTCCTGCCACTCTGCGCGGGTGCGCAGCATGCTTAAAAGACCACTTTGCGGCAGGATGTCTTGCCCTAGATCACACGCAGACACAAACGCAGGCCTCTCTGTATTGCTTTTTCTTCTTTTCATCAGATAATCCAAAAAAAGGACACATCTTCAAAATCTGTCATTCTGCTCACTTCGTTCAATTCCACCCGTAAAACTAAACCGAACAGAAATTTTCTGCGTTTCTTTCTTTCCTTTCTTCTTTTGCTTCAATAATGACAAAACAACATTTGCAAAGACCTGATCCTTTCTCCCTTCTTTCAACAAGCCAGTCTGATGCTTCCATTGTCTCCGTGGGCTACAAGCCAGTCTGACGACTTGCACAAGCCGGTCCAACCACTCTCACAATGCAGTCTGAGACTCACAAGTCGTTCTGAGACTTCACAATGCAGCTTGAGCCTCCCAAAACTCACAAGGCAGTCTGAGTACCCCCACAATGCAAACTGAGCAGCAGACCCTTGCCACCCGAGGCCTTCGTCGCAGCGCAGCTTGCAGCCGCGACGCCAGCATCACGGCGCTCCAGGGGGCCAAGGCCGACGCGACGCTGCTGGCCTCGTACGCCACGAACGCCGCGCTCTCCGCCAGCTCCAGAGCGCGACGCAATCCTCGCCGCCCTGCAGCTTTCCGGCAGCGGCGGAGTTGTTAACGCGCCGGCCTGGGCGGGCTTCACAACTTGGGAGCTCGTTCGCGGAAGCAACGTCGTTCGCAACCTGCATCTGGATCTCTGCTGCGCTGGCCAACGGCGACGACACGCACGGCCGACTGCTACTCCGTCGCAGCGGGGACGCGGCCCTCGCGGCTGCGCTGCTTTTCTGACCTGCACCCACTTGTGACGCAAGCCATGTTAGAGTGAGACCGGAAACATGCAAAATATAGAACGTCGGGCTATTTACCGACAGCGCAAAACCAAGATACCAGGTCAACCCCGAAGACCGGGTGGCGGATTAAAAGGCGACAGAAAGTCCGGGTGTACCCTCCCGGCGACTCAGTGAGTGGCAGGATGCGCCAGCGCCTTCGGCACTGTACTGAAATAAAATCATGCAGAAATCCTTTCCCAAGCACCGCTGAAGGAAAGTAAAAGGGCCCGTGAAAAGAGGGTAGTGAAATGCCGTCCCACGAAACGAGAAAGGGTGAAACAGGTCAAGGGCTTAAAGAGCCGCCTCCTTCTTCTTCAAACGGATCAAGCGGCTGCAGCGTTTCATCCAGGCAGTTTTCGCCCGCTGGAGATTTTCAGTGGTGTCGCCCTCATAGTCGACCCGCAGCACTCCAGGTAAGCAAGGTATTTCCGGGATCCGATGGAGTCCAGGCCTGTGCTTGGTTCTTGTATCGCACCGGAAATACTGCATTTGCTCAAGGAAAGGTTCATAGTCGGGCAAGTGCGGCCGCACCACGACACCCGCAAGCTTTTTCGTACCCCAAAAGTACCGCATAGAAGGAACCTCCGAGGATGTTGCAAACGGGAAAAGTGGCCTGTCCATGAGCCGTTTGTAGATATCAACGCAAAAAATCCAGTCCAGGATTTCAACATTGTACGGGCGAGGGACTGCCTTTGCACCAGGGTGGTCATGGTAAAGCACGTAGTGAGGTCGCTTAGGCGTACCCGTGTTAATGGGGATCCGGTGCCCGGTACTCATGATAAAATGGATGTACAGCTCAAGGAAGCTAATGCCAGGATCGTGCTCACTAGCCTGCGATGGCCATCGGAGTGTCGCTGCCCAAACCGGGAGCATGTGCATAAGCCCCCACCCAAAGAAACAAGGAGGTCGGTGTGCAGTCTCATCAAGACCCTCAAGGCTCCAGGTCTGAAAAGGGCCTGGAGGTTGTGCGCCTGCAAGCCGGTTTGCAATCTCATCTGTGGGTGGTTGGGTGGCGTCAAGAACAGGTTTCGTAAAAGCGCCATCCTGGGCTGAATGCTGAAAAGAAGTGGCGTGAAGGTTGCAAAAAACTTTAGCCGTACTGGGAAAGAAGCTGAGCCCACTCCTCCGGTATGGCCTCCCGCTGTCGGTTGGCAGCATCTGCAAGGTGGTTGCCGTAATGTATATACCGAGAAAGGTCATCCTCACATGCGAGGAGATCCTTGCGCGCCTTGACTTTACAGACCTGTAAGTCAGGGTCTCTTGCAACAATAGCGGCACACAGCTTGGAGATGAGGTCGAAATTACGATACCGTCGGAAAAGGGGTGCGTGAGGTGTGGCCTGCACAGCCTCAACCAGATTGGCAACGTATTGGCTATCTGTCCAAATGGTACCCCTCGCGCCGGCTTCAAAAAGTCTGCAAATTGGATAAAGTTCGCCCCGGTTATTGGTCTGGGTACCAGGTACAAAACCTACTTGCACAACCTGAAAGGTGTTAGGCAGCTGGCGACGGTTGGACCATGTGTGCTCCATCAACGCAGACCGGACCAAATCGGTAGTAAGGCAATCCGTGACAATGGCCCAAGCAGCAACCCGGATATGTTTTTCTTCCTTGAAGATAGTCAGCCCCAATCTGAGGCGAATCCGGAAGGCCAGCATGTAGGACATCAAGCTGATATCCAGCGTCACAAAGGGCAACCACAGGGAGTTGCGAAGGCTCAATACCTTCATCCTGGGCTTGCTCACGTAGCAACACAAGGTCGGGGTGCCTTTCTCCAAGTTCTGCACATTCAAGGATGTGATGGTTGTGCGTATCATCGGCATCTTTGCAAAAAGGGCACACAAGGTTGTCGGCAGTCTGGAAGTGCTTCCTGACTGCACTATCGGGGAAAGCACCACAGGTGGCAAGGCGGATGTAGTGGTCGGCCTTAGTGTCGTCCTTCGACCACAGTTTTGCGGTGCCATCCAAGCTGAAAGGGGGTGTATTCTGCCATGCTTTCCTTTTGACGATGGCATTATAGACACGAGTTTCCCAAGCATGGAACATGAGTGCTCGCACATCTGCAAAGTCGCAAGTCCGCAAATCTACCTGCCGATTGCAAAAACCGAGGACACCATCAGCTGGGTATTGGAGCCCCCAAGTCCAGGCCAAAACTGCCAAACAATACGAAGGTCCCCGTCGCATAGATTTGGCCTTGCCGGCCGGGATGAGTGCAATTGCCCGCTGCCATATATTGTCCGCCCAAATGGGATCATAGTGGAAAATGTTCAAGAGTGTGCGCATAAGTCTGATGGCCTGCAGGAATTCCGGGTCGACAATCTGAGGGTTGTACATGCTACATACCACCCAGCCACACAATTGCTTTTTGTTGCCGAGGAGGGCCCTGGCAAAAGTCTGCCGAAGGTCGTGCAATTGCTTTTCATTCAAAGGGACAGTCTCCGTTCCGTACAAAAAAGTGGGTGCTGCAGCCGTAAGTAACATGCGAATCTTGTCTGCAATACTCAATGGCATCCGTCCCAACTTCTCAGCCGCGAACTTGGCCTTTACGACCCGAGCATTTTGCGGATATTTGACATCTTTCCTGGTGTAATTCATCGCAGCGCCCAAATCAATCTGATCATGGACAACCCGAAAATGGGGCTGGCCGGTTATCGCGGTGCCGGTATCAGCATAAAACTGTAGGGCTTTTCGCAAGTCGGCAGTTGTGCCCCAGGCCCAACACTTGGTGTATTGAACGGTGAGGGTCCAATCGAGCATAAACTGCCTGGATGCTTCCCATGCCCGAACCAAATCCTGCATGGAATTTGCGGTAAATTCAAGGTTGTCGATCAAGACATACGGTTGTACTCCCTGCGCGTGGACCACGACATACCACAAGTAGCCCAGGGCGACAATTGCAGCAACTGAAAGAGGGTCTCCTTCGGCACATCCAGTAGTGGAAGGGCGAAAAGGGCCCGGCTCCCGATTGACTATGAGCGTTCTGGTAGATGCAGAAAGCCAGGTTCGCCAAGTGCGCACGATGTGCTCAGGCGTACCCAGTTTCTGTAGCAAGTACAGTAATGGCTGTCTCGGCAGGGTATTAAAACATTTGAGGAGGTCCAGGCAGGATCCCGCCCTCGGACGTGCAGTGTGTAGGGCCTCGTCAACCTCGTGTTGGATCCTCAACCAGATCATTTCCGAGCTCCGGCCAGGAACCCCACCTATGATCTGCTTTGGCATCCATGTGGAGAAAGTGTCGAGGAGTTGCCTGGTCACGACCTTGCAGAAAAGTCGATATAGGAGCGGGAACACAGTGATAGGACGGGTATCGGAAACCCCCGGGTTGTCTGTCTTAGGCAGTAGGACAGTGCGAGACTGTGTGAACCAGTCCGGCCACTGATTGGCTTGGACGCAATCCTGCATAATGCTCACAAGATGTTGCCAAGCTTGCTGGGGTAAAAGAGATAGCTCTGCTTTATTCCAGCCGCACACGCCCTTGCTGCTTTTAGCCGGTGTCCCGCGGAGAGCATCCTGCCATACGGAAACATTGGCTAAGTCGATATCAACCGGGTTCCGCTGTTCTGCCCATGCGTCAACCATCTGCTTGGCGGCAAGTCATCTTCAACCTGTTGAAGGGGCGGATCTCGCTGCCAAAACTGATTCCAGAACCCAGCAATCTGCTCTTCACCCAGGTGGTCCAGACAAGCGTGCCACGAGGCGGAATCTGTCCTCAGGTTGGGATGCAAACAAGACAATGTCGCTCATGGCCAACAACCTGTGCTCTGGCATTGTCAACCCGCACAATCGCGTCCAGGGGTATGCACTCCGGACGCTCAACCAGGAGCCGGAGGTGGCCCTTGTGGTGGGCTCGCTGCATCTGATATGGGAGTGATTCATGAAGGTCAAGGTGTGTAATCGGTGGTCTGGAGGGTGGCCGCAAGAGGTGATATACAAGAGATCCACCATGTTGGCTGAGGTTATGAGTCACAGTCTCCTTGAACATGTGCTGGGATCGAGTGCGCTGAAGCCGTACTACATCTTGAGCATGCAGTTTGACAGTGTCAATGATGGTGTCAAGCCAGCTGTTTACGGGCCATTCCCAAGGACGGGCCGGAAGAGAGGCTCCAGAATGCCAGTGAATCCATTCCGAGAAGTG